GTTTTAGAGAGTAAAGATACATAATAGATTTTTAACAATTTTGAATCTCTTATGATATTCTTCTTTAGCAGACGAGATCGCTCATCATTGAGCAGAATTCTATATAAAGTGCTCAGAGAGAGACTAGACATGTAAGAAAGAGATAATAAACATTGCTCTGATACCACTTGTTGGTCCCAAACCGATTGTAGAAGGAGGGTTGGATACAAACACATAGATTTTCACCTTTTTAAATTCTTTTATTGATAAAAGAAGACCAATACATAATTTACAAATTGCTGATGGAAAGATAAGGTTAAGACCTAATCTAAACAATCTAAGAAACACATAGAATTTAAGAAAGAGAGAGATAAGAACAAGAGAAAAGAGAGTTGGAAGAAGAAGAAGGCATTGCTAAGAAAAATGATCTTTTCAGATATTTATACCTATTGCATTTAATGCAAGTCAAAAGGTACAAGCCATGTGGCAAACTTCTAGTGGAGAGCTTGTTCTTTGTCTTCAGATATGCAGCCTTTTCGTTGCATATGAATAGTTCTCCTTCACAAAGTTGGTAAGCACATCTGAAGACAACAAAGTAACTTTGTACATGTATTTTTCTATGTGAGGTGTAGGGTTGTCCTTTTGTGCATCTAGGATAAGAAAAACACTAATCTTGTAGAGAAAGATTCATTTGAATGCTGACATTGATTCATCTCTAATGGTTCTTCAGTGTTTGTTAAAATATATGTTCTATTACAATTTTAACTTTTGTTAATCTTTTTTCTATTTGAGGGACTAAATCTGTCAAAGGCATAAAGCTGATAAAGCTGGAGTTCTAAAGTACAAGGACCGGGGCCTCATTTACTGGGGAACATGGAGAGTACCGGAGCATATTTCTATATCTTGGAGGACTAATTATGTCGTTTCCTAATTCATATATATAGGGTCTTTTACCCGAGTTTATTCATTTAGTTCACTTTCTTGTTTCAATTAGTATTCAATTCTCTCTAGTTCTTCTACTTCCTAAGCTACTTTAGTTTTGTATTTTGTATAGATCTAGGGTTATTCTTTCAATATTTTGTAATATTGTTGTTTAGATGGAATATATGTATCGATTACTGATTTGAACATGGTATCAGAGCTGAATCAAGGGATTTGTGGTTGTTTGAAACTATGAACAGTTATCTGTTCATCATCGTCTCTTCAGTTTTTCTTGTAATCCTTCATAGATAAGTCCTTATTTTCTTGTTAAAGTTTTGTGTTTTAATGCGTTTTGAGTAAATGCTCAGAAAATCAATTTGGACTTAAAGATCATCTTAGATCTTGTTTCTTCCAATCATCGTTGAAATACTCTCGTATTGTTTGTGGTTAGATATGTTCTTATTGTCCAAGAGTTGTCATGTTTAGAACTACTTTTGTTGATTTGTTTTAAGATCTGTTATGATCTCTTGTTGGGATTTGTTCTTGTTATTTTGTTCAAGATCTGGTAAGATCACTAGTTTAGATATGTCCTTGTTATTCTGTTTTGAAATCTGTTACGATCTCCTTTTTTTTGAGTAAATGATCAAGTCAATGAACTGACTTACGAAGATCTTTTAGATCTTGTTTTCTAACAGTCATTGTTGAAATACTCATATGTGGTTTTGCCTTGTATCACAAATCCATTTAAGATCTATTTGTGTAGTTAGATCTGTTAGATCTCTCATCTTTTGTTTTAAGTAAATGATCAAGTCAATGAACTAGTTCACGAAGATCCCTTTAATCTTGTTCCAACAGCCATTACTGAAATACTCGCCTTTTTTTAATTTCTTATGATCACATATGGTTTATTTTACATTGTTCTTTGTATACTTACTTAGAAAAATGATTAATACTTGTTTTTGATTCCTAGTCTTAGATCTGTCCTTTCTTGCTTAAACTTTCTTATCCTTTTTCTGGTTCTTCAAGTACATACGCAAGAAAAAAAGGTTAGGGTTAACAGATCTATCTTAGATCTGTACTCGCCTTACCTTTCTACCCTACCTGACTATTGCCTTTGTTATTTTTTTTATTTACTTCTATTACCAAGTAAGTGCGTAGTAAGGATGAGGCTTAACCGATCTGATTTGATCTGTTCTTTCCTTTCCCCAACTACTATACTTGTGATATGTTGGTTTTTTTTCTTGCCTCTTGTTGTGGGGTTGTCAATTGTCTCCAGATCGATGTGTTCTCCAGGTTTGGGGTTTGTTTCCTTGTATTCAAGTTTTCCTTGCCTTTGCATGCTTCCTGTATCTACTTTCCTTTAACCTTTGGTTAAAGGTTTGCGGTTGTATTCTGATTCATCAGGTTGTATCTCTCCTCTCTTTCTTTTTGTGCATTCTTTGTGTTGGTTACTGTGGTAAAGTGTTCTTTTAATTGCTATTTTTGTGGTGTGGCTTGTACCCTTCTTGTTTCCCTGTTTCAGAGTTCAAAAGTTAGCTTGACCTAGCAGCTCGAGTGTTTTAGGAATCTTGCTTTTATCTATTCACTCTCTTGTGGTTGTTTATGTCTAGTTTAGAGGTAGACATTGGTAGGTCAATGGAATCTAAGGTTACCAACCTGGACTTTGGAGACCCATCGTACCTGCATCCCAGTGATACTAGTGGAACTCTCTTGTTAACTGTTAAACTTAGTGGTACTGATAACTATAAGGTTTGGGCTTGTGCCATGACTTTGGCTTTAGAAACTATGAACAAAATTGCCTTCATTGATAGGTCCTGTCCTCGACCAATAGACGATCCTATCTTAGAGTGACAATGTGTTGGTCACGGTTCCAGCATCTTCCTAAATCGAAACGTGGCGCTGGCTGCTACGCTATAAGGGAAATAAGGTTGTGCCTTCACCAAGGCAATTGCTTTTGGTGTAGTGGGTAAGCGCTTGATCCTAACAATTGGTATCAGAGTAGGTCACGGATTCGAATCCCATGGTGTGCATAATATGCAAGGAGTGCATAATTATGTGAAAGGCATGTTGCACGGCCATTGACTTCTAACGAAGCTCTTATTAGTACCGGCAGATGCTGGGGGGGATTGTTGGTCATGGTTCCAGCATCTTCCTAAATCGAAACGTGGCGCTGGCTGCTACGCTATAAGGGAAATAAGGTTGCGCCTTCACCAAGGCAATTGCTTTTGGTGTAGTGGGTAAGCGCTTGATCCTAACACAATGGGTCGATATAACTCTGTTGTCCTTTCTTGGATATTGATTTCTATGACCAAGGATCTCTTTCTAGGACAAGTGTTCTCTAAAGAAGCCTCTAAGGTCTGGGATGAGTTAAAAGAAACCTATGATAAGATCGATGGTTCTGTTCTTTATAATCTCTATCAGAAAATTAACTGTTTAAGTCAAAATGGTACTTTTGTTTCTGAATATTATCACAAACTCAATTCCTTATGGAAACAATTTGATGCGCTTGTTAAACTTCCCTCATGTACATGTAATGCTTCCCAAGAACTTTTTGAACACACCAAACTGATTAAGCTCATGCAATTTCTGATGGGTCTTGATCATACCTATGAACCCATCAGAAGTAATATTTTTACTAGTGATTCTCTTCCTTCTGTGAAAACGACTTTTTCTCTGGTTTCAAGGGAGGAGTCTCACAGAGGGGGGAACTTTTCTTAGTCTAAATCCACACCTAAAAATACAGCTTTTCTTAGCAAGACCTATGATAATAAACCTCAATTAAGTAGAGTTACTTACCTAACTTGTAAGCATTGCGGTGCCACTGGACATACTATAGAAAGGTGTTTTAAGCTGATAGGGTTCCCTAATAATTACCAGAATCAATCTAGGCCTCAAAATCAATCTTTCAAAAATTCGGCCAATAATGTATGTCTTTCTAAGCCAAATCCTACTAAAATTGTTACCTCCAATTCTTCTTTTTCTTTTTTGAAGATGAGCTTGCTAATATTCTTGGTTTAATTTAGCAAAATTAATCCTTTAAAGGTGCCACTGCTAATATGACAAGTAATCCTAAATCTCTTAATCTGGTTGGATCATTGACTTTGGTGCAAATTAACACATGACTCACAATACTAGTTTTCTCAATAACATTGTTGATATATCTGAACTTGATCTTAGAGTTAGTAATCCTAATGGAACTAAAGCTAAAATCAAGAAAATTGGGGATTGCAAGTCATCCAATAATGTGAATCTATTTGATGTGTTGGTTGTCCCAAACTTCAATGTAAACTTGTTGTATGTTCATAAACTGTACTTTTAGAAAATCTTGGGTTAAAGCAGAAATATTTTCTTCAAGATCGAAATGAGAATAACCAGAGGTAGAACATACCTGTGAGTCGGAGCCAGATCGAGACTCTTTTGCATCATTCTCAACAGCCATGCCACAGAAGTGAGCTTGGTCTTCTTCTTCAGATGAGGAGTCAAAGACCTAGTTTTCTTGCTCGGCCATGAGGCTCCTCTGGGATCGATTGTACTTGTACTTATTCTTATAGTACAGTTCATCTTTCACCAAAGGGACTTTGCACTCCTTGGAGTAGTGACCCATCTTACCACATCTGAAGCATCCTGCGGCATGTTTTCTTCTGCTCTGACTGTTCTTCCTCCTTCTTATTTTGTAAAAAAGAAGGGTTCCATCCTTCGAATCCTATGCCTCTACCCTTGTCACTTCAACCTTCTCTCTTGTCGAAGACCATCTTTCCAAATTTTGTTTGAAATTCCTTGGTAATTAGAGCCAAGGAATGTACGAATGCACTAATGTCATCATCCTCAGAGCTTGAAGCTTTGTCTTCATCGTCGCTCTCCACAACAAGAGCCTTCTTCCCTCTTCTTTTCTCCTCCTTCGATCTCCGTTCTCTGTGTGGTTGACTGGACCCAGTCTCTTCAGAGTCAGAGATTAGAGCCAGAGGTCCACCTAGAGCGACCTTGGCCTTCTGCACCTCTTGCTCATGTGCTTGCAAGGTTCCATATACGTCATGAAGACTCCACTGCTCCAGGTCTTGATTCGCCTGGAGGGACATGGACAAGTTTCCCCATTCAGCATTCTACCTCTTCAAGAAGAGCATGTTGTTTTCCTCTTGAGTCCTGATCACATCACACTTCCTACATTTGTTGATCAGGGTGTTGATCAGGGTGTTGAACCGGTGATAAGTCTGTTCGAGAGACTCATTTGGGAGAGCTTGGAAGCTGTTATACTCATTCAGATATTGAGCACGTCTGTTCTTCTTCATCTTTATTCCTCCTTCTAGCTGGTTGGCTAATTGATCCCATAGATCTTTGGCAGAATCGCATGCATCAAGATATTGAAAAATCTCGTTGGGAAGGGCCATGATTAAAAGACTCTTGGATTTTTTATCAATCTTCACTCGTCGTTTGTCTTCATTTTCCCAATCTCTACGGAGCTTGGGAACGCTCCTGGCGAGTACTTCAACCGTGTCATCGGCAGCAGGAATTCTGGGAATAAGCATTGTTGGTACAAAAGGACCATTTAAAATTGATTCATACGGTTCAAGGTCGAGACCTTCATAAAAGTTGATCATCCTAATCTTTCATTGGGGATATTCTTCCCGAATGAGAGTAGGAGGTTTTGTGAGGGAATCGGCACTGTACATGGAGTTCCACTATTGATTCGACATTTTGCTGAAAGATTTGAGAAAAAAAAAAGTTTGACTTGAAAGTGAGAATAGTGGAGTTTTGACAGGTTTTGAAAATACGAAAAGCAAACGTTTTTAAAATGGAATTTGATCAAAGATCGGTATGAAATGTGTTTTTAAAAAACGAATAACCAAATTAAGAGAAGTATCCTTTTGGATATCGATCGACTAATCAATTTATTTGATTAGCAGGCTATGATACCAATTGTTGGAACCCAGATTCTCTTAATATCAGAAAACACAGATAAATAAATATGAGTGAAGTAAAAACTGTGTAACTGGAAAGGTCTAACGAAGTATTCAATATAAATTTAAGAAAGCAAGATGAACTTGAATATGTCAGATGCTTTTATTAGATGAGAAGAATACACAAAGAAACTCTCAATCTAATTGTAGTCTCACAAGGTTTCGCTATAGTCTAATTCAGCACAATCAGGTAATTATAACCTGAGGAGGATGCCTCCTTATATACGACTAAGCTAAACAGAATCTCCTAGAATCTTCGCTTCAATCTCTGAGTTCTTGTTATGCATCCTTATTATTCACGTTCCTTGAAAAGTGGAGCGAACTGAGTCAAGCCGCCTTGGTTCTGTTAGAAGTCTTGCGGGAAAGTCTGAATTGCTTCAATAGACTAAGTCCTACAGACTAGAGTAAGAGAGTTCTTACTTACACTTTACAAGATGAGGTCTAACACTTAGTCTTGTAAGCTAGAGCCCCTCTGGTTGGTCTGGCTCCTGGATGGCTTTGTTTTTGGTTGTTTTATTTGAACATTGGAAAAATATTCCAATCCATCATAAAAGAACCAGAGGGGCTCTGGTTGATCTTCATGTTTAAAAAGAGGATCTATGGTTGTAATTGGAACTCAAATTCTTTAAGTATTTAACATGTTTTTGACCCAAAGGCTCTGGATAGACAAACCAGAGGCTCTGGTTGACCAGAGGGCCTTTGGTTGGCCTTGCTTTTGGTTGGTGAGTCCACAGGGGATCAGGTCCTTAAGGACTAGAGGATCTCTGGTTGGTCTTGCTCTGTATGATGCAAACTTTGCCACGGGTCTTTTTCAAAGATATTGGGTATTTGAATAACTCTGAACTTAAGGTCTTCAGACTTCGTCTTCAAATTTGACAAAGGCGCTCTTCTAAATTTAAATTCAATTTTCTGATATAGTTTCATTTCCAAATTCAATTTTATTCTAGGGTTAACTTCATTTTAACTAATTAGGGGTTCAAACCGGACGGTCAGACCGTTCAAACCGCTAAAAACGGTCTGGTTTGACTGGTTTGAACGGTCCAATAGTTTTTTGAGCACCCCTAGTTAGGAGTTCTTGACTTAAATAGCCCTTTGTAAAAAAACCATATAAAAATAGCCTAAAATAATTTTTTTTACAGAAATAGCCACCTAATCCTCCTTTCTCAAGGAGGAATGTGTGATGGCCGACCTAATGAATAAGATCTGACTTGAAATAATAAAAACTTAACAATAATGGGATGTTTTGGAGCCGGTTGCATGCAAGAGGGGAGCCTCTAGGCGCTAAATGGCCCACCTTCCCTCTCTCTTCCTTTTACATTTAATATTCAAATTTTACACATATATAATTAGTTATTTAATTACTTTAAATCTCTTACTTTTCATTTTTCTTTGTACACCTTTATATATTAACACATATAATCATATGTTTTAAACTATAGATAGATCATTAAAAGTGCTTTTTAAAAGTATTATCTCCAAAATTGCAATCGAACGCAAGTATCTTTCTTTAAATATAAGTTGTCCATCATTCTCTAACTTACTTGACAAATGGCCATTATCTTTAATCAACGATTTTATGACCTAATTGATATTTAGGCGGGTTTATGAACTTAATGCAAAGGGATTTAAAACTCATCACTAACACGGTATATGAGTTAGGCATGTGAATGGGGCGTGGACCTCAGTTTTCATCCCCGTCCTCCATCCCTCATCTCCGTTCCCGTCAGGGAATATTGACGGGGATATGATCACATTCTCATCCTCAACTAGAAACAGAGATCCCCAATGGGAAAACAGAGTTTTTTTTGTTCCATTTGTGTAAGCTACTTTAAATAAATATGTGAGACACCGCACATGTTTAAATCTCACATTTTTCCAAAAAGAAAACAATTTAATTTAATACAAAAAAATACAACATCCTATGATGATTAATAACTTAAAACCAAAAGAAACTCAATTTAATCCAGAAAAAACTTATATCGAGTAATTATATTTTGACTTGACATCCAAAATATTACATGTTAACATCCAAAAAATAACACTTTCAGATTCTAAACCTAGTTAGGAAATACGAAATTACGAATTACTATTTTAGTTGAAATAAATTATATATATCTAGTTTTTATTTTATATATATAATATGGTACAAGACGGGGCGGGGAGTGCGATACCCGTCCCTGCCTATCCCTAATTTGTGACAAACGGGGATCCTTGTCCACGTCCTCGGTTTAGTAAGGACTTTTCGTTCACAACCGGGTGGATGGACCGGGAGACCCATTCCCTGCCTAAGATTATGAGATTTTCTTTGTTTTTAATTGTCTTTCTTTAACATAATATCATAAACCAATTTGATGAACATGTGGCATTATCATATGCACTATTTTTCTTTGTATCATGCAAAATATTCTTCAAAGGGGAAGGATAGTTTGGTCTGTTACACAAATCTAGATTCTGGAACATGCGATCAATAATCCTGTAACTTTATTGGGAACATATTGGTTGGCAGTCTATTAAAGCGATATTTCAAGACACTGATTTTTTGTGGTCTCTGCATATTATTGTGATCTAAGAAACACGCTTTTGTTGTATAAATATTATTCAATGACTTTTTATCTTATTTGTCATTTAAATCAATTAATTGAGAGTTGAACTTTATGTAAAGACAATTTTTGCCCATTTTGTTGTTTTTTGCAACAACAAAACATCGTCTAAATGGTTTGTCTTCATTAAAATGATATCATCAGTTGGAGCTTATTATAAATGAATAGATTAAAAAAAAAAAAAAACTCGCCAATTCAATTAAAAGTAGAACTTACAAACAAAGATGGTTATGAAGAATCAAATACATCGACGAAATAAAATGTTGTAATAATGAAATAATAGATTGTAATACATTGATCAAGCTTTGAACCACTACACTTTTCTTTTTGTTGCAAATCGATATTGCTATTGTTAAATGGCATAAACACACAACACTTTGCTCAAATAAATGTCCATATATGGATGGAAGCTATCCAAAATCTTTAATATTGTCCTTTGTTTTCATTATTATATAAAAAATGATATGTTTGCAACAAAATACTAATTACAATAGTTTAATACTTTACTACTTTCGCCAAAACCCAGGTGTTTTCTAAGAGGAATCTTGCAAGTTTATCATGGTTAATCATACTTATACCTCTTAGCCTCGTTGGGGGAAATTATCCCTTGGAAATTCAGTTTATTTTAGGAAAGATGTCAATTTCAATCAAATTATCTTCCTCTGCATGACAAAATCCAATACTTCTCTTCCCATAATGATCTAACGAAATCTCAATAAGTTCTTCCCTCTCTTCCTCTTCCCATTTGAATAACACACTCTCATGTGTTTCCCAATTTTCGCTCATTGAGAAGTTGCCGTCAGATGAGCTATCTGTCTCACTTTCTGGGTAATACATCGATAAAGATGGATATTTTTCACAACCAATAGCTTGTTTATCATCAAAAGTGTCATCGTTTTCATTACTCTTCTCATCATCTTCTTCTTCTCCTTCATATGCTTCATATATGATCTCCAACGGTGTTCTTATGTTCCATTCAAGAAACATCATTGTGGCATCCACTTGCTTCGAGTCCATTTCCATTGTTGGTTTTTCTTCTTTACTCACCTGTGATGATTCCATGAAATTGGTTTCTAGTAATTCCCATTTATGATGGTCATCTTGGGAAGTAGATTCCATGCCGAAACCATGCTCAAACTCTATGTTGCTTTGATTGCATTCCATTTTCAAACTAGATTCAGGCTCAAACCCTAAATGAGTTCGATAAGGTGCATGGTCTAAACCAATTTTAGGATCAAATTCTACATGGGTTTGATTAGATGCATGGCCTAAACCTAATTCAGGCTCAAATTCTACGTGGGTTTGGTTTTGGTCTACATAGTTAAAAAATCTTGACTCTATAGAGATGGATTCCAATGCCAAATTGGAACGCTGAGCTAGGTTGTCCCGATTGACAAGCAACCATTCGTCTTTGTTATCAAGAACTCTTGATTCTAAAAAACTAGATTCCATGTTCAACCTCTCATCGACTCCATAACCAAGAATTCTCAACTCCTGAGAATCTACTTCTTTTTCCGATCGCTCATCAGCACCTAACCTGAGAAGGAAGAGGAGTATGATTCCAGTGGAATTGATAACAGGAGAAAGAGTTATTTGTAGGAAAAAAGATGGAGCATAAAGGAGAATTAAGGTGTATAGAGCTACAATTGCGGAGAAGAGAGGGTGTGATGAGAATTTGGAGAAGAAATCATGAAGAAAATAAAAGAAAGGAGTAGAATTGAATTCCATTGGTTTGATTGGAATTTAAGAGAAGAAAGGAAAACAATCCATTGTGGGAGAAGATTAGCAAGTGATGGTTGTAGGACAAGTGACTATATATACATACATGTGAGATAAAGAGAGCTTTTTAGGAGTGCGTAAAAGCAAGGCATGGAATATTAAAGTTATGTCTCTTTAGGGATAAAATAGTAATTTTAGAGTAATAGCTATAACGTTCTTAAATTCAATTTTATCTAAAATATATCAGGAAAAAACTAGAAAAATATTTACGCAATGCAGTAAGATACATCTCAATTTCAATATTTTATTTTATTTTGTCTCTGTTTATGTTACAATACGGTTTTATATGGTTTTGGAAAAAACAATAATGTTTTTATATTTGTAAAAAATATAAGTTCGAAAATATCTTAAAAACTTGAAAATTTAACTATTTAAAAGTTTTCGTTTTTGTAATTTCTTTAATTCAAAATTTTTTATTACAATTTTAATTTAGACTTAATAACAAAATAATTTATTTTTGGGTTAATAATATATTTTTTTATAAAAACAATAAGTAAGTATTATGTTATAGCTTAGTGATTATCTTAATTATGTTTTAAATTTTTATAATTAAAATATGATATTTATCATTTATTTGATTTTATTTATTTGTTATTAGTTACACGAATTCAAACATGAAAATTTAGTAAGTTGTGTATTTATACATAATTTATTTGTAATCTTGAATTTTAAATAAGATAAATCAATAAACAATACTTAATACATAAAAAATAGATTTTATGAGTTTTTTGTGAAATATTTTATAATAAAGTATAGATACAATGTTTGAGTTAAAGTTTAAAAAACATGTATCTAATTAGTTTTTATTATTTATTTATGTCATATTATCCAAATCTCAAATTTACAAATAATTGTTATACTAATATAATTTGTCGAACCCGTATATGTCTCACATTGAAATAAAATATGTTGTTATCATTTTATGTAAAAAATACTTTATAATAAAAACTAATATTTCTTACATTTTATTTTTAAATTATACCAAAAGACATTTTAATTTAACACAAACATTAATATATATTTGAATTAGCAGGGATATTGTAATTTATATTTTATTTAAATATAAATTACGAATTATCATTTTTATTAAAAGAATTGCATTGAATTTTCATTATCTATTTGTAATTTAATTTAACATAACAATGCACTGATAAACAACTAGTTTATTTAAAACTTGATAAGTGTTCATTAGTTTAAACGGAAAACTCTTTGTTTAAATTGTTAATTCAATTATTTATATTATTTTCTAATATAAATAAAATTCTGATTTGTGTTTAACAACAAAATAAAATATTATTTTTTTAATTTTTAAGAAAAATATGACAAAAACAAAAATTTGAGTATTTTGTTGAAGCATTTATTATATATAAACTAGAAGAGTACTCGTATAATGCAACGAGATATATCTTGATTTTAGTATTTTATTTTTTATCTTAGTCGATGTTATAATATAGTCGTATGTGATTTTAAAAAAGCGATGATTTTTTATTTTTGAATAAAATATAAGTTTGAAGATATCATAAAATTTTGACAAAAATATTTTGATATTAGTATCAAATTAACTATTTAAAATTCCTTATTTTTTGTGTAATTTTTTTAATTCAATTTTTTTATAATTTAATTTAGGTACAATAACGAAATAATTTATATTTGGTTTAATAATAT